TCTACTGGTACTAATTCGATAGCTCCTGAACTGAAGAACATCACTGTGTAACGCAGTGAAAAGCCACAAATCAAATGATCAAATGTGGATCAAATGTTTCCATCTTCAAAGAAATCCGACATGAATTGACGCTACCAAAGCGAAACATGGCACATTGACCTGATGCCTTCTTCCACCGTCGCTGTCGATGGCGACCCGCTGATTGTTGATGTGGTCGTTCTTGACACTGCATGAAGGAGGTGCCTTCGTATATGATGTTGTGGATGTCATCCTCATTTTCGACTAAGTTCGAAAGATGTGTGAAACTTGTCGGTTACTAATGTCCTATCGCAACTGCGACTATCCACTGGTCTGCGGGGAGGTAGAATCAATGAAAGACATCAGAGTGCTTTGGTCATATGTTTACAGTTCGTCTGGTACTTGAAGCGCACCAGGTATCCCAACCGCCAATCATGATCATACTTCTTAACTTGACGATTGGCCCTGGTTCACCTGATAGGGCCTATCAAAGTTCAAGTTTTTGTTTTAGGACTGGGCTGACAAGCAACCTGTTTTCATCTGCACCCTCCGAATTCCACATTCACCTCGACAAAAACTGGCCACCTCATCGGCTGCAGGTAGCACACATCGATTCGGGATACGTGCCCAGACCACGCCTTAGTACGTGCGCGCCCTATGGCTTCAGCGAAACACCAAACATCTAGACTTCTCACTCGTAACGTGAACTCAGTCCTCAATTCAGCAGTCTTATGAAAGCTGGCGCACCATTTGCCAAAGAGGTAGGTGAGTGAGCTGAAGGCCGGCCAGAACAGTTCCGAACGTGCCTTGAAGAATGCCTCAGAGACTTCCGAATTATGCACAGATTTCTGAAGCATCGATCAACTGATTGAAGCACCTAAATGGGTACATTTATTCAACCATCTTCGCAACATCCTGAAATGATGACCTAGTAAAAGTCTTAGAATCGATTGGAAGCCGTTAGTAAGTGACAAAGGTCTTTAAGATAAAGCCAATGCGATACAGAACGCTTGAATACTACTCCGTCTCATTCGCAACACGGGTCAAGGAAAGATTTCGGTTAGTGAAACAATAGTTGTGGGATATGGATAGTAAGTCTTAATTATATTAACTAATCTGCTGATGGTATTTTGAGGAGCAGTTCAGTAAACCTGCTGAATCTACGTGGGAGATTATCATTACCATCATTCATCTAACGCAGTACATCATCTATTTTAACTTATGTTTCACTGCCGTACAATCACAATGACTTAAGGATTGACAAATAATAAGCTGGAGAGTAGTGGCCAACGTGCCTATACCTTGCCAATAAATTAGAATCGCGTACAGCTGGCTACCATGCAAAGATAGGGTGGTATCGGCGAGACCACTTCCTCGTAGCTTTTACTGCCCCGTCATAATCTGGTGGATTTCGTACTCTGTACTTCATAGACGATTCGATATGAGTTCGCTCTGTTGGAGCGAAACAAATCTCTCAGACCAGATGCAACCTTCCTTCACCTTGGTTGAATGGTGGAGGTGCTGAATTGGTGACCGATTTCTCCGCACTTTTCACTGCTAGTTGGGATACTGTATAAGTGCCTTCATACTGATGGTTGTGAACCGTCATCGGAGGACTAGCATTAATCCAATTGTCTCCAAACCCCTCACATATGACAATCTGCGACGACTCACTGGTACCTGTGGAAACCAGGCTGACCTTCATCTTGGTCAGGGTTGCAAGGATCACGTATTTACTCTACGTCAAATTTTGGACCAGGAACATGTATGCGTACAACCCAAATGATGGCTTTCCTTGACTTTAAAGCTACCCTCGATTCTTTCAACCACGCCAGCTTGCGGTATTACCTATCATCGAAAGGTGTATCACAGAAATTCCCTTCTCTCCTGCAGGCTGTCTACTGCGACTCACGAGGTTTTATAAGGGTCTATCGTAAGCTGTCTTCTGAGTTTCTGCCACAAGTGGAATGCACCAGGAATGTCTTGTGCCTCCTTTCATTTTCGGCTTTGTGATCAAGATATCCATGTATGATTCTATTCCCTCGGACCTTTCTGGAGTAGAAGCTCCACCACGCCACAAGCTGATGAAGTGAGTATCTGAACAGCAAACCTCTTCTTGGGTCGGACGCAATGACCATTACGCTACTACGTGGACTGACACGTAGTGTTGTACGCTTCTAGACGTGCTTCGCATCTCCGAAGTGCACGGTACTGTTGCAGAAGTTTGCCGACACACCAACGATTTTAGTTATCTCCCAACAGCCACTGGAATTGGTCGATCGGTTCACTTGAGATGGTAGTTTTGTTACGCATGATGGTACCACCACTGAGGTTACTTCACGTCAGCTATTTACCTCAATGTTACCAGCCGATGACGTGGCGAAAGGGCATGAAAAAACAGACCGAACTACTTGATCCGGCTGGTGCATACTATCCTTCTGGGTCCCCCTCACTAATGGTTATAGACTCACACAGCGCTCTTGCATCAAGTTTACCGCTCCTATTTGTTAACACTTTCATGGCATTGTCATACTGCTCCACTCATTTCATTTGAATCTCAACGCTTGTTATGTTGGCTCTCTGTTCTCTCTTTAATTTCCACATTTTTTCTCGAATGACGCGGTTCACTTGGGGCCACGGTACTTGGGTGTTGGGATGAAGTTTGGTCCGCGTTCTCTACATTATCTACTCCAGACAACTGAAGTTCACCTAAGCTTTCACTTTCGGGATTCTCGTGACTTGGACAGTACCCACTTGGATAATTTCGAAGCACACGTTGTATGCTAGGATTGCATCGCGCAATCCCAATTAATATCGCGATTCACTTTGCTGATGAGTACGAAATCGGTCCTGCAGTGCAGCGTTGCGAGCTAGCGAGGAACACCCAATGTGTTCACCTCAGCCCCTATACTTTTGACTTCCGCTCTTCCATGCACTGTCCGCTTACCACATACTTTCGTGTAATTCAGTGACTGGAACATTTCCGAACCGAATTGCATCAACAGCGAATCACTCGACTCAACGTGAGTTTGTCGACGTTCGTTTACTGCACTAGTTGTGCTACCAGTTGTGTAACCAACCCGTACAACAATCTGACGTCTACACTTCCTTCGACGTCCGAAACCCCTGACTCATTGTCTCTTTGTTAGCGCTGGTTGTCCATCGTTTCGCGCCACTATTTCCACCCTCGGAATACAAACTTCTCCAAGATTGATAGCGCTAACTCTTACACTGACCCTTGGTGGGGGTCAGCTAGAAATTGGTCGGAAATTCAACTAGCTGGGTAGCTGTGTCAGTGTCTCTGGGATAGAGGATGAGATCACGAAACGTATAACTAAGGCTTGAGGTGCCTTTGCCGATCTTCGCCATTTGTGGTGCCGACGCAACATCACTCGCTCTGAAGAGCAAACTATTCAACGCAGCTGTGCGTTCAGATCGACATATGTAAAGTGGCTTGCTACGCCCGATCACCAGTGCCTTTGCAATTTGGCTCGTGTCTGGTGGGAATTGTCTGGGCAATGAGCGCGTTCGGCGTCATGTATTTGGTGCATGGAGAACGAGTGAACCGCCCAGCACCGTTATACCACGCACTCGGCTCCGACGGCAGGGCCACGTGTTGCGCATGCCAGCACACCGACTCCCGCGACGTGCATTGTTTGCGCGACCGGAGTGTACATGGAAGAAAAGGGGGCCAAGCGATAGCTTGGTAAAGTGGTATGAAGTCCCTCCCTCCGAAGTTAGCGTCGGTTGACGTCTCCTGACTGCTAGGCTTGGGTCCGAAGTACGATGAACACATTTGGTTGGATACACCTGTTGACAGCGAAGAGCCAAACTAAATGGTGTTTGTGTTGTGTTTCTCTATCTTTTCCGCTTAGTCTCTCCCTCCAATCACGATCTTACACTCGATCTGATACTAAGCACCATATTACCTGTTTTTGTTTTTATTTTCTGCTGTTTATTATCTCGCTTTTTAGGTATCCTTTTGGATTGCTACGCAGTAGCTGTTTCTCACCTTTAGCTAACGTGTGATAATGATGATGCTACCGTATGTTCCATCCAGCGAATAGCTTCCGGATGGAACTTATAGGTTTCACCCGCGATTATGAGTCACCATGAGGGAACTCACGGACGCCATCACTAATCCAACCTTTCTCTACCGTCCGTGAATCGGTAACGAATGTGTACCGATACTTGCTGTACTTACTAAGTTTCCACCTCTCTTTGCGTGAATACATCACATATAAACTAAAGCCAATCATAAAACGTTTTCCTCTTATTAGTAGCCCATGAAATATGGGCAATCTTCGATCCTGTGACGTTCAAATACCACCTTTGCGTACTGCGATTCAATGAGACGGTGCATCTAACTTGCACGACGGCAAGTGTCTGGAACTGTTGCCGGAGCATATAGTGCAGCAGTTCAAACGATTGTTAAATATTCATTTCTCAAATGTTAGTTTTCGAGGACGACTACCCACTGAACTCTTACATTTTTGTGTCACAATTTACTGTGCGTTACACCTGTTCTACGATTCACTTGAGAACGTGAAAACGATCAGGGTAATGACAAGTCACATAGTCTGCTATTTTAACATTCTCGATCATATTTGGATAGAGTTGTACAGAGAGCTTTTTACTTGTTTCCATAATACAGTATTCAGAACACTGTACGACAGTATCATTATCGTGGAACATGTACTTCTCAGTCACACATCTCATAATGTGAGTGGATCTCCTTCCAGTCAGCCTGCCGGCAGTTCTGCGTACGTTCGAGTTTGACTCGATTCTCAAAACCATTACGACCTACCACCTCACGGTGTCCTGCTAGCGTGCTGTGATATTGGCGTCAATGTGGTACCCGATGCTATCTGATGTGTCAGATCCGTTAGTTGCATGCGCATCCCAAATCACCACATGCACATTTGCAGCTTCATTATTTAGCACGAAACCACTTCTCTTTGCTCACTTATACACTATTTTTCATGTTTCAGCTCCCCGGCCGTGTACCCATGGAACAACGCACTTTCCAGTTTTCGCAGCCTGACGGAAACGCTCTAACCGTAAGGCTGTGCTCACCAGGTATCGTGCTCATTTCGGAACGTTCTGACCTCGGTAGTAATCCGATCCGATGTCAGTAAATATGGACATTACACCTGGAAATGTGCTGAGGTTCTCTCGGAGCATATAGCGAAATTTCCCGAATTGGTACGGGGGCGTCGCGTTCTTGAAGTAAGTAGCGCACGACAGTTCATCTCGAAGCTTAAGGAACTTAGTTAGGCTCCGGAACAGGCCTATGTGGTCTAGTAGCCGGCATGTGTGGTGCATCCTTCGTTACCTTTACCGATAGTGATCCCACGCTTGAAACTTATTTACTGCAAAGTGCGCAGGAGAACGGGATCAAAGAAACCGTCGGTTTCCGGTTACTTGATTGGGAGCATCCAACCCACAAATGGAGACCATTTGAATTCGACTTACTTCTGGCTTCTGACACGCTTTTTGAGAAACGAGGTTGGCATATCCGCTCATTGTCCAACAAGTTATCTATCAGTATATGAACCTTTTTTGCAGACCGCCGTCTTATTGTTAAATTCACAACCGGAGGCCTTTATGTTATTAGCTCTTGAACCCCGAGGGTAATACATGGAAAATCCTAATGTCTTTTTCTTTTTAGATCACTTACGAGTCTTTCAATACTCTTCAGAAAGTACTTCCTTGAGTGCACTCCGGAAGATGTGCACTATCTTCGCTTTCATTCCGTGCAACTATATCGTGTGAGACTCAAGACGAGCGTTTAATGTAAATACGTCTGTGCATTCTTCAGCCTTGTACGGGTTTTCAGATGTGGCTTGGAAAACCCCTACTTATCGGCTAGGTAACGTTTACGATGGGTCGTACGGACTAATCATATTGTGCACGCATGAAAGCAAGACTCAGAATTAGTTCAAAACGCCCAGTGTCACTGACGTATGCAAGCCGAATGATTAAAATCCACTACTGAATGCGTACGAGTACACAAACCATTTTTACTGAGGAAATACGGCGAACGTGTATGTTCAGCACTGGATGTTGGGGATAAATACCATAGTTACAGTATCTTGTTAGGTGATGCGATCGCCGTAGTTGATACATCTGTCCAACTAGGTGAATCTACAGACCAATCCCAGTACCTGGTGACTGATTGTGGAAGTCGCTTTTGTTGGCCCATTCTCGCAACATTGCCCTGTAATTTGAATACACAAACTACAAGTTAAAACGTGCAGCGCTTTGAGTCAGTCTAACCACGGGCTGCTATCGCCTCTTCCCTCCACACCTATTCGAATGGAACATTGTATTTATCACAGTTATAAAAGCAAACGCTTAACAGTTTTCCGTAGGCAATGAGGAGAAACAAGTTGAAGGACCTTCAACCAACTAGTACCGATAAGCTTATGTGGTTTAGAAACAAACTGACCGATGTTGCTTATGAAGTAAAAAATGCGCCAATAAAAGAAAAGTGCGCGCTTACGAACAGACACCTACGAGCGAATTATGCGATAAGGATGTCGTTGTAATGAAGCCGGATAAGGGTTCAGGGGTTGTAGTCATGAACAAAGTTGAATACATCGAGAAGATGAGTATCATGGGCAGCCTACTGGGCCTCATACTAGCGGATTTTTTTATCCTGATGATAGAACGAAGTCTATCTGAAGAAATAGCGCAGTTACCTTATTACAAACGTTACGTGGACGATATCTTGGTGTTCAGTTCAACAGAAATGCAGATAACACAGCTAGTGGCGCGTTTTAACTCTTCGCATACCAATTTGAGGGTTTCCTGCGAAGTCGAACAACACAACTGTCTTCCATATTTAGATGTTCTTATCAGTCGCAGAGAGAACGGACTGGTAAAAAGTTCTGTCCATCGAAAAACAACGTGGTCGGGACAGTATCTGCATTTCAGCAGGTTTACGCCAATGCGGCACAAGCGAACGCTTGTGAGGACCCTGTTTAGTTGCGCCAGAGAAATATGTTCGACCTTTCCTACAACAGTTTCTTGATGCTCTGGCCGTCGCAGAGGATAATAAACGGCGCCCTATCTGCTGCATCGAGCAGGGTGGATAGGGGTTTGGATGCTACTGCTCAGGCCTTCCCGTCTTCTTATACCCCTTCTTGCGCTTCTGCATCCTTATTGTCCCGCTCCAACTTTACTTATATCCCCCCCATTTTCAATCCCCCAATTCTCGGCCCTCCCCCAGCTTACTTCAATAGTCGCTTGTCTTCTAATTTCAAATCACACACAATCGCAGGGCCTCGCTCCAATCCAGTCGATAAGTCCATGTTCAACCAAGCGGACAACGTCAGTTCATCCGTTTCCCTTTGGAGTCCTCGTGTCTCGCTAAGATTGGCATGCCTCAACGTGCGCACTTTGCTGCAGATTGGCCAACAGGCAGCACTTGCCCGCACACTAGAGACCCTATCGATCGATATTTGCTGTTTATCAGAAACCCGCCTGAAAGATTCGAGCTCCGTGTTTACCCTGAGATCCCCCACATGCGACACTGGCGGCACATTCTCATTGCGCCTATCTGGCGATGATGCAGCTTCAAATGCCGGTCAAGCTGGCGTCGGCATTGTTTTGAGTCCCCGGGCTGAAGCTGCCCTGCTTGATTGGATCCCAGTAAACAGTAGGATGTGCGCCGTTAGATTAGCTGGTTCGTTCCGTGCTTCGAAGTCGCGCGGGGACAAACGGTGCCTGTTTGTCATTGCGGCCTACGCCCCTACAAACTGTAGCACTGATTCGGTAAAAGATGATTTCTATCAGCAACTTCACGAGCTCCTTCGTTACAGAAGAAGCACGGATACTGTGGTGTTGGCTGGCGATCTAAACGCCCAAGTCGGAAAATTGTCCTCTGATGAGCTTCATCTGGGCGGCCAACATGGTGTAGGCTCCCGTAATGATAATGGTGAGCGATTGCTCCAGCTGTGTGAAGATGCTCGCCTGTTTCTCGCGAGCACTAATTTTCGACACAGCACCCGCAGAAGTGTGACTTGGCGGCCACCAGCCTCGGGCCAGTCATGGACGCAAATCGATCATATCGCGATCAGTTACCGCTGGAGAGGCTGTGTCCAAAACTGTCGTTCGATTTGGAGCACGAGCGTGGACTCTGACCACGCACTTGTATGTGCCGACCTCCTGGTGCGTTTCGGTGGACGTCCGCGACGTCGATGTGAACGGATTGACACTAGCCAGCTGGCGAAGTCAGATGTTCTGAATGTGTACCAAGATGCGCTGACATCTGGGCTGAGTAAGCGCCCACTAAACACCGTTGAAGATCACTGGTCGCACACTCGTCAAGTGTTGCTATTAGCAGGCATGTCTTCATGTGGCAAAACAAATTGCAAATCCGAACATTGGGTCTCTACACAGTCTCTGGAACTTATGGATGCTCGCCGACGTATTCCGGCTGGAAGCGAATACACTGAATCTCGCAAAAATCTCAGGGCGAAACTACGTGCTAGCCTAAAGAAGGACCGCGAAACCTGGTGGTCTCATCGTGCCTCTGAGATGGAAACAGCCGCTGCCATTGGTAATCATCGTAAGTTATACCGTCTGATACGGGCAACAGGCAGCAGGAGACCTGGTGTTAGCGAGACTATACGCGACGAGAGTGGGCATCCGATCCACAGCTTGTCAAAGCGTTTGGAGCGTTGGGCTGAACACTTTGCTATGCAATTTAACCAACCTGAGTTATCACTTTCTTCGGGCATTGAGCGCCCTTGTCCTTGGGCCGTCTCCTTGGATCCGCCCTCACGCGCAGAAGTCGAACGTGAGATCAGGCTGTTGAAATTGCATAAGGCCGCAGGAGCAGATACTATTCCTCCAGCCCTCTTCAAGTTCGGTGGACCTGCTCTAATAGATGATCTACACGAGTTGCTAGTAAAACTTTGGGAGCAGGAGACAGTCCCGACAGACTGGAACCGCTCCGTCATTGTCCCAATTTTCAAGGGAGGCTCCCGTTTGGAATGTGGCAATCATAGAGGGATCAGTCTGATTTCGATTGCCTCTAAATTGCTTGCCTCTCTCATTCTCCACAGACTGACTGGCACTCGTGAAAGCCAAATTCGTGAAGAGCAAGCCGGATTTCGTCGAGGTCGGGGCTGCATTGACCACATCTTCACATTGCGTCAAGTGTTGGAGCACCGCCATGTTTATTGGCGACCCACCGTTGTCGTGTTTCTTGACATAAAAGGTGCCTTCGACTCAGTCGATCGATGTGCCCTTTGGGACTGTCTGTTGAGGAAAGGTGTGCCTGATAAATATGTAAACATTATCAAAGCGCTGTACGCACATAGTTCGGGCAGGGTGAGGGTTTATGGCAAACTCTCGCCACCCTTCAGTATCATCAGCGGTGTGAGACAAGGATGCCCGCTGTCACCTTTCCTCTTCAACTTCGCTATTGATGAAGTCATGGAAACAGCGTTCGCTGGACACGACCTAGAAGGTGTGGAGCTACTCCCTGGTGAGCAACTTCTTGACTTGGAGTATGCAGACGATATTGCCCTAATCTGTGACAGCTCCCAAACATGCCAAACTGCACTGAACCGATTAGCATTGGCTGTCAGTCGTTTTGGGCTATGCTTTGCTCCATCAAAATGCAAAGTACTTCTCCAAGATTGGCAGGGACCCAACCCTGCGCTAACGCTTGGTGGTGATCTGCTAGAAGTCGTTCAGGAATTCAAGTACCTGGGCAGCTATATTAGCACCCGTGGGATTGAAGATGAGGTTACGAACCGTATAGCAAAAGCTAGAGGTGCTTTTGCCAATCTCCGCCACCTGTGGCGCAGACGCGACATTACTCTCGCCCTCAAGGGCAGAGTTTACAACGCAGCCGTCCGTTCAACTCTCCTATATGGCTGTGAAACCTGGCCCATCAGGTCGACAGACATGAAGAGACTCGTCACGTTCGATCATCGCTGCCTTCGCAGCTTAGCTCATGTCTGGTGGGAACACCGCGTGAGCAATGAGCGTGTTCGACGTCGCGTATTTGGTGCAGGAAGAGCGAGTGAACCGCTCAGCACCATTATATCACGCACCAGGCTCCGATGGCTGGGCCACGTATTGCGCATGCCAGCACACCGACTCCCACGACGTGCATTGTTTGCGCGTTGTGGGTGCGGTTGGAAGAGGAGGAGGGGAGGCCAAGTTATGACTTGGTCGCGAAAAATGAAAACCCTCACTTCGAAGTTGGCGTCGGTTGGTGCATCCCGACTGCCTGGCTGGGGTCCTAAGGACGGTGAACACGTTTGGTTGGACACACTTGCTGATATGGCTAGGAGCCGGCCCCAATGGCGTTTGTGTTGTGAGTTCCTTTGTCCATCCCCCTCCTGTTTAGCATCCCCCTCCAATCACGATCTCAATCGTTAGGCATAATATGACTTTCTTTTGCGGCAGCTAGCTGTTAGCTCTCCGGAACGATGTCCATCCGTTACTGGGGACTCAGCGAGCGTGCCACTGTTCGTTTGTTTTTTCTTTTCTTGCCTTTTGTATTGCGGCACAATAGCTGAGGTGTTTTCCACCTCCAGCTAACGTGTAATGATGATGATGATGATGATTGTCTAGCCGATGAACTAGAATTAATTACCAACACGTTAATTGCTAATGGCTACCCTCGAAAATTTATCCGGAAGCACAGCGAAATTCGTGAAATGAAAGTTGCTGTACCTACTGTGCCTAAGAAAAAGGTATTCTTGGAGCTGCCGTTTAAGGGTGACATTGCTTCTTTGAGGACCACAAGACGTCTGAATTCCGCCACAAAGAGCACTTTTTGTGATGCCGAAGTTGTAATCATCGACCGAACTCATAAGCTACCGTTGCCTTCACTAAAGGAAACTCAGCCTG